TTCCTAGATCTTGCCCAGTTTGAAACTGAGTGGCTGTGTTCCTGAAGAACGATTTCTGATTCAAAATCTCAATGTGAAATGATCTAAAATGTAAGACCGGAGGCTAAAAGTATGGTTACATGTCTTTATTGAGTCCTGTTCTTTTCTCGTTTCTAATCTAAAGCGTGATAGGCAGTGAAGGAAGGATGCACCTAGATGCTTCCTATTTTGCAGCTTTTTAAAAAGGTGTGATGCACTCAAGTAGCCTGGGCTTTGCAGAAGAGGATGGTGGAGAGCTGGTTTGCCTCTTTTAGGGCCCTCATAAGCAGGAGGAGCTCTGAAACTGTTGTCCCAAAGTGTAGTTCTTGGTCCTTATTGTTATAGAATGGGCGTATAGACCAGGCCAGTACTTGTTGGTTATGGTTTAAGGCATGCCTAGGCAGAAGGATGTCACTAGGTACTGTACAAAAAGAAGCAGTAAGTCAGAGTCTGCTCAGAAATCCTGTAGTCCAGGCAGAGACAAAGGTTGAGGAAAAAAAGGTTCTTCACTGACTCTGTCGTAAGGTGGCCTGATTCCTTGTTAGAAAACCTCTGTTTCTTAACATTTAAAAAGACAGTGACCTAATGAAAATCTCAGGGGTTGCTCCTCCATCTTAGTATATCTCTTTTGCTGGAGACTACCTGCTAAGCTGCACAGGTCTGCACCAGCCCCGTATTCCTGTGCCAAGCACCCAAGTGCTGCTGTGCTTCAAGTTCTTTGAGCATTTGCTTCACTCCGACTGCACTTCTACTGCTCCAACCCAGTTGTTTAGTTCTGGTATCACCCTTTTCCACCAGAATAGAGTCCCTATCTCCCACTGGAGAAAGACTCCTCTTGAAAATGGATGCTTATATGCAATTTTGCAGATTTTTAACAGCATAAGCTGTTCTTTTCCAACTGGGACAGCTTTATTAGTCAGTGAGAACCGAGTTATTTCAGTGTCCTGCAGCTGGAATGTAAAAGCAAAACTTGCATGTATCCCAGCAGTGTCACCTGTCCCATTGGTCCACTCAGGGTTTCACTTGGCAGAAACCTGCAAGGTTTCATTTGTGTTCTTTTTGCAGTGTGCTGAAAACTTCATTTTGTATTTCCAGTTGTGCTGTATTCAGTGTGATTTGCATCCCTTGACCAACAGTAATTTGTCTGCTTCTTGATTTTCTCCCAACACTGTTGAAATCTATGTGTATGATGATGATGATTTTGTATTGTGAATATAAATCTAGACAAGTCAGTGTGACCTGTCCAAAGGGAAGAATTGACCCTTGCAGTCAGTCACAGCACAGCACTGAGTCATACATACTTTTCAAGAAAATAATGCAGAAATTCCCCATAGTTTTTACAGATATTTTTTCAGGAGATGAAGTGTAAGTCTTCTTTGGCAACACAACTTGGGAAAACTAAGAAGCTTGTAACACCAGATCATTAATCTTTCTGATGTATGATGCACTTTTCACTATTAATATCTATTTTTTTTTTCTCGTGTTTCATTCAAACTCAGCTGATCTGTTTGGGTTCCCCTTGAACTCCTGTGCTCACCAGTCTTATCCCCACCCTTGACTGTTCTCCACTTCCACTGTAAATCGTCTGGGAGGGAGCTGAGTCTTATCCCACCTCTGTGACTCTACAGTGACCAGTGCAATAGGGTCTTTTCTGCACCATTCCTAATAACACTTTCTACTTTTCCTGCATAACATAGAATATACTCTGTTTGAATATTTAACACCACGTAGAAAACAAGGAAAAAAAAAAATCAAAAGTTCCTTCAAAATGGGAACTGAAGTTTAGAATGAGATTTACTGTAGTGAAGAAAACGGTGGTAAAGAAAAACAACAACCAAACATCCAGAAGTAGTTGCAGGGAAGCTGTTTTCCACAGGGATATGACTGTCCTAGGGAAATACAGTTTCCTTGCTTTCCAGTATTTGATTGTTTGTTCTTTTTATTTTAATTCCCAGAATTAAATTCAAGACAAAGCCTCAGTGGTGCAGTACTTGAGTACTGGCTTTCCCAGTGAATAGTTAGGGGGTGAGTTCTTGATTGTGCTCACTGTAGTGGAGCTAAAGCAAGCTTTCCTGAAGTACAGTTGTGACTAAATGCTTCTCCTAGATTGTTATCTTTCTCTAAGGCAAAAGGTGTGTATTTGTGATCCTTAAAATAAATGTGATGAAACAGTTAAGAGTACATAATTGTGTGAAGAATGAATTTGACACATTAACTTGGCAGCTTCTCTGGTCGTTAAACACATTGGGTTCTCAAAACCCCTTTTCTCCTACTTAAAAAATCTGAAATGTAATCTTACACCCTACTTGATGGTGTCACTGAAAGCCAAATATTTATCACTCAAAGATTTATAGTTACTTTCAGTCTTAGAAGGTGGAAAGTGCGGTCATCTCTGGCCAGATGTTGCATCTGGGTTTCTGACATATCTTTTTCTTTTTTTTAATAAGTGTGTTTTGTGAGGTTTACATTCTAATGAATGGAGTAATTTTTAGCATAAAGAAACCTGTGCAGCAGTGACAGTTTGTTGTCACACAGCCGTGCTCTTCCTTTCTCCTTGGAGTTTGTGAGCATCCCTGGCTTAATGTAGGGGAATCTGACTTAGTTCTGCGGAAGCTGAAGCGTTTGAGGAAAGAGCTGTTAATCTTTGATCAGCTGGAGTCTCCTTGTTACTGATTTTGATTACACAAGTGTATGACTTTAATTACAGCTTTTAATAAGGTTCATTTCTTCCTAGCCATATTCTTTGTATAGTAGTGCAGCTTATCTTTTCTTCTTTCCCCTGCCCCCCTTCCTTCCTCTGCTGTCTTTAATGGAAAAATGCGGTTGAGGTCATTGTGGGTGATTCTGCATCCAGAGGTGTGGTGAAGTTACAAGAACTGTGGCCCTGTGACGAAAGCTGAGGGCCACAGTTCTTGTAACCTCACCACACAGAGGCATCCCTCTGCACTGCCCCCTCCCACAGCTCAGTCCTCTTGTGCAGCTCACAGCTCTCTTTTCCAGACCCTCTACACCAGTTGCTGCCTGGGTCTGGTGGTCAGGGACAGGGCTGCAAGATGCTAAATTCAAACAGGCATGTGCTGTATGGAACAGCTTAACAACCTTTGGAAAATCTATGTAGGCAAAAGGTGCACTGGCTCCCGGGTGTAATTCTTGCCTGTTGGGGACTGTCTTATTTTCTCCCTTCTGGATGTTCTGAAATGCAGCAGCTGAAATCATTGCATCATGAATGAACATAGCAGACATCACCAGTCCATGGTGCTCATTCAGTACCTACAGCTTTGGCATGCTGGTCTGCCTGTTAGAAAAGTAACCTGGTGGCAGCTTTGTGGAGGACTTTTGGACTTGTAATTGTGAATAATTGAGGTGTGGCTTAAAACACAAGAAAATGCTCTTTTTTCCCCACAAGTAATATTTTGGCTTTGGAACTCATTGCCCCACCATGGTTTAGGTGTGAAAAATAAAGATGGGTTGAAGTCAGTTGAATATATTCACAGAAGAAAGATTCATCAAATCTCTTAACATTATCCATGATTGGGTGACTTGACACTTGAGAACTGGTTATCAGCAATGAGAAGGAGGAGCCAGAGATTCCTGCCTCTGTTTTTTTTTCTTCAGTAAGTCTCTGATATCAGCCCCTATCAACAAAAAGATAGTGCACCGATACGGCCCGTGGAGAATGAGTATTGCTCCCATGAACGTTATGATGTGGAAATGACAAGTGACATAAAAAATGCGTATCAGACTGTCAAACACAGCAAAATAGTGATTTGCACCAGTTTGGCATTTAGAGGTGTGCAAAAGGAGTACACGTTTAAAATGGCAGTTGTGCCTATGGAAGGGGAGATAGTGGATAAACAGAACAGCAAAGGGAGCCTCTTTTATCTTTGTGTGTGCATCCTTCCACTCCCTTACTGTGTATTATACTCTTTTTGCACACTAATGAATATTGGAGTCAGTGCAAGTTAAGCTATATCTCATTCTGCTCCTTTTTTCTAATGAACTTACCCCTGATGGGTAGCTTTCCTAGCTATTCATGTCACGACTGAATTTCACCTTGACAATAGATCAAGAATGAGGTTCAGCAGCATGGCCCACCTACTTGCTCCAGCATGACAGCTGCTTTGTGTCCTTAGGGTAGCTCTACTTTGATGCTTTTCCCTGTTTAGAACAATTTGGAGGGAGGATTTTGGTAATCTCCAGCAGGCAGAGTTTTTAAACCTTTCTCAAGGGAATATGAAGATCCTACAGAATTTTTGAACCAATATTTATGAAAGAAGTGACACTGTCTTTAGCTTGGTTCTTCCCACTGGGCTCCAGAACAAAGGATTTGCCACGCGAGATCTAACCAGCTGCTGTTGTAGCCTGCTGCTGTTGGTGCCTTAAACCCAATTGTGGAAAATTCTGGAATGGTGGAGAGGAAACATCTAGTGTAAGCGTTGCAGACATGGCTCTAGCTGTTAAAGGGTGTGTTTTCATGCTTCAGAAACAACAGTAGGAAGACTGTGTCTTCTGCTCTTTTAGGTTCTTTGAACTAAGAAATGCTGGATTTAAGTTCTTCTAAACCTGTCCGGCTTTTTGGTTGTTCACAATACTGTAGGAGTTGCTATAGCACAACATTGACACGTTTGGTGTACTGACTTTGCTGGACAAACTACAGGGGAAGAGAGACAATAGAATGAGGTCACTGCTGTGTACGTGGTGCATGGCGCTGGGTCGGGGGCTGGTGTGGTTGCAGCATTTGTTTGTCCAGTAGCTGTGCCTGCTGAAAAGATCTGCGCCTGTTTTCTAAGAGTGTCGTCCTTTGATGACAGTTTCTGCATGATCTGCTTTGGTAGCGTATGGTGTCAGCCAGCTTTTCACGTGTTCAGGGGAAGTTTTTCTGGTTGTCAGTTTGAATAAACCAACCGTATGCCCCCTTTTCCCTAGTCTTGTTTGAGGGGAAGAGCAACCTTTTCTAATCTCCGCCCTGTCTCTTTTGGCAGACTTGGGGACCAGTTCTACAAAGAAGCAATTGAGCACTGTCGCAGCTACAACTCCCGGCTGTGTGCTGAACGGAGCGTTCGCCTTCCCTTCCTGGACTCGCAGACTGGAGTTGCTCAGAACAACTGCTACATCTGGATGGAGAAGCGGCACAGGGGACCAGGTTGGTAGCAGTGTGTGTGCGTGCGCATGTCTGGAGGTCTGGCCACTGAGCCCCCATGGGATTTAATTAATAGAAACTCAAACCTGCTACAGGCCACGCAGAAGAGAAGCTGCCTAAACCTCTGTGCCTGCGGGGGATTTCCTTTGGTAACTGCAGAGAGCTGATCCTAATTATTCTCTCTTACCCGAAGAAGTGCCTGACATGGTAGTTTCTAAGACTGTATCACTGTAGCTCTTCTAATGCTATTGATCCCAGTCTGTAGAAGGCACAATGCCCTGTTCTAAGCAGGATTGAAATTATGTTCAGGGTGGAGAAGCGGAGGAGGAAGTCTCAGGTGAATGCTGAATATAAAGGGTTTCATTAGGAAGTACATATAGTGGAGGTGAAATACAGGAGAGTCCAGCAACTGGAATGAACTTTGTTCTGATGATTAGAAATGTAGGTAAACTTCTAGTTCTATTTTGGACAAGTTTGGATATCAGCTCTGGAGTCTCAGTTTTCTCAGCTGCAGAAAAAAATTAATATACATCCTCAAAGACCTCTGGCTAAGTTTCTTTCCAATGGGGGAAAGGTCACCATTAGTTTAGCAGGCTTTGGTCAGTCTTTCCTTTGTTAGAATACATCCATCTGAAATCCTTGTTTTGAAAGCAGAGGACAATCACCAGTTCAAAGGCTTGATGTTACTTAAACAGAAATCCTGAAACCCAGTGAAAATTTTGCTGGAGTACAGCTGAGTATCTGATCCACAGTTAGCACAGGCATGAATTTTCTGACAATACAGGAGTGGATTTGTGTTTTTTCTTCCCCCCCCCTCCCCCCCCTCCAGTGCATAATGGAGATCCAGGTAGGAAGGGGTCAAGTGTACACAGGCACTGATCATGTCCACATATCCTTGTCAATTCCTGTAAACCATACTGGAAAAAAAAAAAAGAAAACCAAATATCCAACCTGGAACTGTGGATAGATGCAGGCTGCTGTTACCTCCTCCACTGACTAACTCGCTGCAGCTGTAGCAGGAGGAACACAAAGGACACTTGCCTCCCCTCCTGTGAGCAGACTTGGAAAGCAACTCATGCCTCTGAAGGGTGCTTATCTGAAATGCTTCCTAGGATAGGAAGGGACATATCTAGGATAGAGGGACAGATCTTTGCGCTGCTCCTGTTCCTAAAATACTCAAAGTAGGTGTTCTATGGTCTTGCAGTACCACCAGAAAACTGTAGCAAAATGCAGCCACTTCTGTTGCAGGAGACAGCGGGTGTTTTACCAGTGTTAAATATATCCTAAGAATATCTCAGCTGCCAAAACTACTTCAGTAATCTGAGACTGCTAAATGTGGTTTATGACCACGTTAATTTTTTTTTTTTTAAAATCTGAAATCTCCTAATTCCTAAGAGATTATGCTTTTGCAAAGATAGGTTTCCTTTTTTTTTTTTTTTTTTTTTTTTTTCCTTTTTTCTTTTTGGTTAATCACTTTGGCTCTGCAATTTTTGTTCTTGTAACATCAGGTTATGAGTAAGGTGCTGCTTTTTAATCCTTGTGAGCTCAGTAATAAACACGTATACATCCACTATATACACAAATGATGTTTTGGCAAGAGCACTTGCTACAAAGATAAACAAACATAGTATTGTGTAGGTCTCATTGGTGTCTCTGCACTTAGAGAGGAAATCATCCTAGAAGAGTTACAGCATCACACCAGGAGCCAAGAGCTCTGTCACTAGTTCTCTGGACAACCTTTGGCAAATGCGCTGTGCAAATCTTTTTTGCTCACTTCTGATACTGAACTTTCCTGTGGCTTCCCCTGCAAAAGAGTCAGTGGCTCCAGTGGGAACTAATGGTAGAAAATTCCTCATAGAGAGTCTTAAGTGAATCAGGCTTTCTGCATTTGTTGCAGCCACCAAATCTGATGCTTTTGTTATTTTAATTTAGAATAATCAGTGCAAAATGAAGCAGCCCTCCTCCCCTATATTTACTTTCCTCTTTCTTGATTTTTATTAGCCCATTTAGTGCTCCCTTGGGTCTCTTTGCATCATCTATTTCTTGTAGTATCGTTATGGTGGGTCAGAGCATCCTTGTTTAGTTTCAGCATCTCTGTTTTCAGGCTATAGACATTGTACTTATGCTCATACTGAACATCTCCGAGAATTCTTTGTCAGCCACCGTAGTATCCATCCTGTATGCTATGTTAATTGCCATTTACTATCCATAACATGAAAAACTGCATAAAGACAAATGGCAAAGCTCCAGGAACTATTTTCTTTTACAGAGAGTTTGAAAAACAGAGGAGAGTTGGGATCTCAGTCTATTAACCTGGTTTCTCACCATCCTCTTTGTTAAAGGAGTCAGAAAACTGCATTTCATGATGAACAGTTCAGGGTTAATTTCACACAATACTGCACATAACTCCCTCCCTCTTCTCTCCTCCTCCCCCAGCCTTTCACAAGAGCTTTGAGTTATGGCTCTCCTACACTAATGAGATAAACAACATAACTCACTGCAGGTTCTGCTATTTCCCCTATAAGCAAATGGTTGGAACCTTCTCTGGTTGCCCTATAAGGCCCCAGAGGGAGAGACAGCTCAGCTAGGACTGAAGACAAGACAGTAAGACATGCATAAGTGTTATTTCTCATGTGCCCTGCAAGATCAACTGTGCAGGGGCTAGATTCTGTTCAGAACAGACCCTTTTTTTTATTGCTTCTCCTCTGTGTAAACAGTCAATGGTCCATGCTTCACATGAGGCAGTATGGAGGCATATAGGTGTCAGGGCAAAGGATTGAAGATAGTATCTAATGAGTTTGAATCAAGATGAGGCTTGATATCTGTCTTATTTTACTGGATGGCTGTGTGTTAATGAGCAAGGATATTGCAAATAGGAATAGAGAGACCTGAACATCTCCAGAAATTCTCTACCAGCCTTCTTGGTATCTGTCTTGTGTGCTGGATTCACTCTCATTTAGTATCCCTGACCTGAAATACTGTCTAAAGGCAAATGGGGGAAAAAAACCTCCACAACCATGGATTTTGGTGTTGGAGGAACTTAGGAGCCTATCTGCCACCTGGAGTGGGCTGCATTTCCCCAAGGGAGGAGAATTCTCCACTTTCATCTATTCAAGGATACCTGCTGTGTTTCTCATTGGCCTTTCAGCATTTGCAGTTGGCATTCAGTGTCTTGGCTGAATCCAGAATTGCCAATTCATATGTGAGTTCACAATACTTGAACCCATGTTAATGGATATTATCTCAAAACTGCATTGGATCCTTGCTTTGCTCTGTCTGGGAGAAATGTTCAAAGCAATGGTGCCCACTTCATTCAAATCTCTCCTCTCTGGAGGTCTGTGCAATGGAAGGCTGATTCTCTGTCCTGTTTCCTTAGCCTAACAACCCTGCTTTTCAATGCTGTGAGCAAATTTTTGAACAAAACCTACTGTGAAAGGGTGAGGCATCTTGCCTCCACCTCTTTAATGACTCACATCAGAGCAGGCACAATCCACCCCACCATAATAGCAATTGTTTGCAGTGGTTAATGTTTGCAAAATGCCATGTAGAAACGTGTCAAGCACTGCAGAAGTACTGGTTATTCACATTTTATCCTTAAAACAGTCACATGTGCTGCTCACCAAAACGCATCCTTGTTGTGTTGGGCATAATGCCTAGGAATCTGTGCAGTGACAAAAGAGGATGTGCAAAGCCCTGGGCCTGCACTGTGACCTCGGGCAGCCAGGACCTCTGCGAACATTCCATCATTTGGCCAAACCCAGGCAGTATGATGTAGATGCTCCATTTATGCACCAAGGCCAGGAAGCAGGTGGAAATCGTTGAAGTCTGAACTGGCATCTCCAACAGCTCAACTATTTCAAGCCAAAAGCTTGCAGAACGTGATTAGCCCATACCCTTAGGGTGAATAAATTTGGTGTATGCGTGTCTCTTATTTTTTTTTTTTTTCCTAGTGACAGTATATTGTCTTTTTTCTTGTGTTATCTGCATCTGACTCAATGAATCAGCTTTGTTCTAGAGCTCATACGCTCTCTGGGCTGTCTCAGAGGGAATGGCAGAGAGCAAGCCATCCTGCTGTTCTTGAACTGATTTGCTTTACTCGTGCTGCCTTAATGATGTCCAGCTGTTTACTGCTGGTACTGTTTCAGATATGGTAACATTAGTAATGTCCTCTCTCTTATGTGGTCTTATTTGTTTTCTGAGGGCAGTGGGGTTGGAACTTCAGTTGTGCTCAGTAGCCCCTTCAGGAATAACAGCAGAAGGCAGAAGAGTAAAAGCAGAAGTGGCAGACAGAGAGGTCAACGGAAGCAGGGGCGAGAACAACATTCTTCCAGCATTTCTGGATCTTGTTGGGTATCAAGAGTAACTGGGGCAGTAACTTGTCAGTGTGCTTCTGTGTTCTTAGTAGCAGTGCATTCACAGGGCCCTGCTGTGTCCTGAATACAAGAGAACAAAGCATAGCTTGAGTGTTGGCTAAGGGATGCCTATCATGAGAGCCAGGGCAGCTCAGAGGCCAGCAACACCAAATGTGAATCAATGGAGCATGCAGTAATATAAACATTACTGCTGTATTTCCTCCCTAATTCAGGATGTGGGCATGAGGAAGGTAATATCTAGAATAAAGGATCTCTTTTTAAACAAATGTCCAGAATTCAAGTGAAAATATCAAGTCCCAGTAGCCAGACCTACATGGATTTTTTGTTTGCTTTCACTCAGAAGACGTTTTCTGAGCTGGTCTGCATACCAGGGCCTTATGATTTGTGTGTCGGAACTTCATCTCTTCTCTCCCAAGGCACTTTCTCTGCCCGTGGAGGAGACATCTCCCTGTGACCCAAGAGAGGCTGAAATTCTATTTACCCTGAAGGAATCACAAATTATTTATGTGCAGCTCTGGTTTCAGTGAGCTGAGTGAAGTGTACGAGTGAGACCCAGATTCTCTGTAGGCCTGATCCCCAGAGGTGCCAAGGAGCCTCCGGAGTGCTGGATACCTTGAGTGCATAGTTCTGCATCACAGTTTGCAGGATTGAATCCTCTAACAAGAGACACTGAAAGGACAAGGGAAAAGATGCTAGAGACAGTGCTTTGTGGTTTACAGACTGAAATATGATTGTTTTATTTCTTGCCTTTAATTTTCAGGCCTGGCCCCAGGTCAGCTGTACACATACCCGGCACGTTGCTGGCGCAAAAAGAGGCGTTTGCATCCTCCTGAGGATTCCAGGCTGAAGCTGCTGGAAATTAAACCTGGTACGTATTTGTTTGCCTCTCTCTCTCCTGTGCTGCAGAGCAGCTGGTATACACGCAAACCTGGCATTTAGACCTTGGACTCCATCTTTGTCCCTCTCCATCCATTTCTCTTACTGTTTATTGCACCTTAACTCAGTTTGCTGTAACAGCAAACACTAAACTCTGTACTTAACTCATGCCTAGCAGAAATGTGGACGGCTTGTGCTAAATGAAATGAGAGCTGAATTTACCTTCCGTAGGAGTGAATCCTGGGCATCCACAAATAAGTGTATAAGGATGTGAATGATCAGTTTTTTTGCCATTTACTGCCTCAGTGTGTTATTAATACATAATCTTCCTCTGGCATCTGCCAACTAGATTTTGTGGAGACCACTGTGTGTGAAGAACGTTACACTGAAAAGATTTATCATAAAAGGACCAGGGGTGTGACCTGAAATCTATTTCCTGAAACAGGAAATAAGAATTAGCAAAGATTATTATGTGGTGAAAATTACGCCACATTTGTATATGTGTGTATACCTATGTGTGTACCTTAGTCTGTTCTTCTTTCACTGTTATTGTCCTTGGTATTCTTCCCACACAATTAAGCTGTATGAAGTGATGAATCTGGATGCTGAGCGAGTGACTGTAAAGCAGATGTGGAGGAACTGCAGCTGTCAGGAAGAAAGTAGTGTTGTGCATTCTTCCCTGCAGTTAGTAATAAAGGTTTGCTGTCTTTGGGTCAGCTGTTACGAGAAAGAGGGAGAGCACAGCTGTATGTGGTTTTTAAGAGGTGAGACACTACCAGTTTAAAAAATAGAGGAGATCTCTAAAATGTAAATTAAGAATGTTTAAAAATAAACCTATTTGACAGAAAAAAGGCGTCTGGGAACTGAGCTGTACACAGCAATATTGATAACTTTGCTTCTATGCAGTGGTGAATGAAAGGGAAGAAAGAAGCAGTAAATGGACAAGCTGTAAACCCAGTAAAATCAGAGGCAAAATTCTTGTTGACGTTGGTAGAAACAGGTGTTTGAAGACTTCAGGCTGGCAGATGCGAGCAGGCAGTTGGACAAAACGAAGAAATGTCTGCTCTGTTGGGGTGCAGACTAAGGATGAAAGCTCAGCCAATAGATAGAACTAGACCTCATAGCAAAGCCAGCCAAAAAGATCTATTGAAATCAAGTCAGGTTACTCAGATGTCAGTGAAACTGAACTTGAGGAAGAGGATGATGTTGACCCACAGAAATCTCTACTTCACTCTTTTTTGATGTTGCAAATGCTGTTGTGCCTTGGTAATTTAGTAAGGCAAAGCAGTAGTGTGGAGTTAGATTCTTCTTTGTTTGCATTATGCTTCTGTGCTGTACTCACTGAATGCCAAATTAGTGCATCCTACTTGCCACAGGGCATGAAAGGCAATTACCACAAAGTTATCAGATAAAGAGACCTCAGCATGTCTGCTTCTGTGTTGTTTTCCCTGCTATAAACATTTCTTCTGCATCTCAAGAGTGCTACTGTTGTTGCATTGCCAGTGGCAGCCAAATAAGGCAAGTTATATTGCTCTGCCATTTAAATCTATTTTCCAACCAATTTCTATCTAGTGATTAACTTTCTTTATCAGTTACACCATGAAATAATTTCAATCCATCTGTGCATATCTGGAGTAGTCTTACCAGGCAAAATGGGATTTTTCCTTTCTTGAATTTGAAAGTATATGATCTACAGAAAACATTGGAACTTAATTTAAAGGTAACTTTTGACAATTTTAGAAGAAAAGGTTTAATTTATTTGCAACATGAATTGTAGAAATGCTGTATATTTTTGAAGGGGATCACTGAGATAAAGTCTAGCACTGAACCTAGGAATCTATCTCCTGCTGACCTCTTTATTCCTCAGTTAAACAATTGGTGACCGTGTGGGGTGCAGATATGGCGATGGTGATTTATAATCCCTTAGAAGCACAGTGATGATGTAGGACATATAAAATAAATCTGGACGGAATCTCATCTAAATATTTCAGTTTCACTGTACCTTGGTCTTGGATATCCTCATCTTGACTTAGAGCTGTTCTCAGTAGTAGATCACTATTTGCTTGCTTGTGCTGGGTTAATGTGAAGTAGCTAGTTTTTAGGAGACTGTTGAGAGTTGGTTATATGTTATATAATACATGCAAGCAGTGCAATTCTACAACATCAGATTTGGGCTAAATCTTATTTTTCTTAAGTTGTACTTTTGTAAAATATTTTTACATTTAAGATTTATTTTTCAGATGCACTTTTAATAAAATTCTATTACAAAGTTATAGAAAAGAATCTTGGCTTCAGAAGTTTCTAATCCAGCAGTCAGAGGAAAAAGAAGAGGATATGAATGCTTGTTTGGGCTTTTGGAGAGGTTCATTACAGAGATGAGTTGTGTCCAGAAGTTTAAGAGTTCTAGATAATCTGGGAGATAAAAGACCTAGAATTTTTGTTTAGTAAGTCATAGCTTGTCAGCAGTTGGTCAATAGATAGCTTGAAGTATTGTCTTGCTAGTAACTTAGGAGTATAATATATAATAGTATATATTAGTATAATACTAATGATTTATTAGTAAGTACATGTAGTACTAATTCAGGGTTTATAGTTGCAATACAATTTTGCAGTGTTGGTACTTTGCAGCTATGGTATATTTGGTATTACCAAAATTTAATGAAGAAAATGTTGCAGTGTTTTCTGTTTCCCGTAGATTGTATTCCAACACAGTATCCTGCTTTTTTTGTTGTTGTTGTTGCTTTCTTTTTTGTAAAATGCAGGTGCACTGTAATATTTTTCTTGGGGTCAGTTCCTGCTTTCGTCCTAGTAGAACATGGTGCTTTTACTGTCTTTATTTGTTGCTCTTATTTGTGAAGTGTTCCATTTTAAGAATAGTTACAGCTAAAGCTGTGTATATCAGAACACTGGAATAGAGGTTGCTGATGCAGCCTTTACATGTCCATTTTCCTCTGCCACTGTATTCTATGTTAAGTGCATGGATAGCCCTAGCAAAGTAGCAGTTAACACTCTAAGCATCCTACTCCAATAGCCAATAGATATATGATAGAAATAAAGTATTGCCAAAGCTTACTTATGGTAACTGCCTCAATGACAATACAGTCAATATTATTATCAGACCTTTATGAATAACTCTAAGTATTCCTGGCATTTAATTTCACGTGAACTAGTATTTGTATTTCAGTAGCAATTCATATCATTGGAACCAAACATTATGTCTCAAGAGCAGCCAAGTTTTCATCATTGTAATGGATGTGAGGTGTTACAGAGAGCTAAAGTTATTAGGTGTTGATATGTTCATGAAACTAGGTCTCTGCCTCATTCTGTTAAACCAAGTTTGGGCAAGCCTAGCTGCCTGCAAAACTGGGCAGTGGTATTTGCATGGCATTGGAACAGTGAGAGGACTGAAAGCAGGTTGTGCTACCACACACACTCCTTACCTGGTTGTTCTCCTGCCTTTTAAGAGAGGAAGAGCAGAGCAGAGATCCTCTGTATGGTTCGTGTGGGAATGGGAGAGAGAGACTTGGACTGAGCTGCTTAGCCTGTTATCTTACAGGAAAGGGAGGAGGATTTTCAACTTTGCTACCATCACCTTGAATTGCAAGTGCCACAAAGGCAAGCAATAGAGTTCTGGCCTTTAGTAATATCAGAGCACTGGAAAGATGAGGTTTTGAAATAGAAGAAAGGTTATGCCCTGATTACACCCAAGCACCTTTGAAATCTTAATTGCTTTCTGCCCAACATGCTTAGTGGTTTTGTGGTACTGGGTGATAGCATGATTCTGTGTTGGGTCAGGTATCAACATTGTGAAACTGGTATTACCTACAGTAAACCCTGCTGACAGTTGGGTATTACACAAGATTTGCAGCTATGTAAATGACAACAGACAGGATGCCTATGGCTGCGAACTCTGGAATTTAAATTGATAGTGTCCCACTTCAGTTTTACAAGATGGCTAAATATAGATGTGTACCTACATGCACGAACACAGGACTTTAAGTGTTTCACGTGCTATGCAATTGTAGAGAATATGGCTGGAAAGTTCTCGTCTCAGTTTGTTCCTGCCCTTTGATTTTTAACTCCAAAAGGTGATAGAGAGGTCTTAGAGCTGGCAGTGTTCCCATCCATTTAGTGACTGTGGAGTACAGTTTGTGTGTGCTGCTCTCTGGTGAGACTGAGCTGTGTTAGGGTTCATCCTCTTACTTACCTCTGGGTAGCGTTCAGCTGAACTGCAGAAATAGCCAATTTTTTTTCCAGTTAACAATTCTGAAGTAGTAGAAATAAGCAAAAATATTTTTTTTGCTGTGATGGACCACGTTCAATCAAGACCAGATTTTCAGATGGCTCTTAAACAATGCCTGATCTGTTGTAGTCCGGGAAACACCTCTGTGATTATGAACAAATGAACGGATTCCTTGCAGATAAGCTACTATCTCTTCCACACATCTCAACTTACCTTGTAGAGACTGCGCTTGACGGTAGAAGGTACTGTGTTTATCGTGGGAAGTGCCAAGTGCCCTCAGCTCTTGCAGACGATGCTCAGCCTATCCGTGGAGATCAGTGCTCTTCAAGGTGGAGCACTTCACTAAGATAATGTTAAGCTGAAATTAAAAAGCACAGAGCAGAATTAGCATTACTATCATTTATACGATAGCATCTAGAGACTCAAGCAACTTGTTAGACCACTATCCTGGGGATCAGTTTGAAGTAGTCTTATACTATCTGCACACTGTAGCAGTTAATACAGTCCAAATATAAAAATATACAAAGAAAGTCCTTCTATTCTAAAATGGAGAAATAAACTGCAAAGAAAATAAATCACTTGTATGAGGATCTAAACAGAGGTTTATGGAACAGCTGTTTCCAGTAGAAACCAAGAACACAGAAATAACTCAGTTCTCCTGAGCTCCATACTCTTTCCCTTATTGACATGTCCGGTGTCCCTCAAAAACATCCGAGCCTAAAAATAGTTCAAAACACTAATGAGAATTT